TGCCCGGGGATATAACAGTAAGAGATAGATCAAGTATCGACCATCATAAAGACTGAAAAAAAAATTGACAAAGATTATTGTTTAAGGTTGACGGACACGCATGTCTTAATTAGTTTGTTTTTTTTTTTTTTTTTTTACGAATTGGTCAAACCCAAACTCAAACAAAAACATTGTTTTCAATCGTTATGAGTCTACCGATTGAATAGAATTTTATTATAAACAATTGTCTTGTAAATGGAATTTTTAATGCATTCTGCATGTAAAAATAAAGAAAAAAGTGTGCAAGACAATAAGAAACACTACCTGCCAAAAAAGTGATGTTTTGTTGAAATCGGTTGAAAAATGTAGGAAATCCGATCCCATATATAAACGAACACAGACACACACACACACACAAACAAGCTGGGTTCTATAATAAGTATCACTCGATATGAGTTGTCTCCCTTTCATTCTCGCGATGCCTCTTAATCTTGTTTTCAAATTGATTTCGTGCAAAAACAATTGCGTTTTTCCATTTTGGGCGCTGTCACAACCACCGCAAAGTAATTTTACGTAGACCTGTGAAGCTTTGTTGAAATCAGTTAAAAAATGTAGGAAATCCGATCCAATCTATAAACGAACAGACACACACACAACCTGGGTTTTATAATAAATATGATTTATTTGCTTATTTGTACATGCACGCTAACAGGCGCATATACGCTGGCTAATATCGAGTTATTTTATTAACCCATATATATATATATATATATATATATATATATATATATATATATATATATATATATACCAACTGAGTTCCTGAGCATGCGGCCTTACGTTGTCATAGAGGAGAACAACATCTTTTTCTATTGACGAGCGCAGGAGCTTTTCGGTCAAAATTTTATGGACATGTTGCAGCTGCTGAATATATAAATGCGGATACATGGCACAGCGGATAAAGCGTTGGCTTGATCCAGTGAGTTCAATACCTAGCTACGAAAGTGGTGAATCAAAAAAAAAACTAGAGTTGAATTAAAGGGAAATAACTGAGACATCTGGAAGAGACATGGCACGTGGATGTAGAACAATCTACTCCGGTGGACGAAACAAAGGATTTAGTTCGAAATTCCAATCACCTGAAGAAGGCAGGAGCGTGCATCGACCGAAACGTCGTGAACATGGCAATAAAGATCAGGACAACAGTTCGAACGATATAAATAATGTAAATAATTGCATTACCTCATCACAGAAACACAGACAGTTCCTGAAGAAGGCCGGAGCGTAAAACGACGGAATCCTTGCAAATATGACAATAAAGATGAGAGCAACAGTCCGAACAATGTAAATAATGTGAATAATTACAATAATTCATCTCAGAAATATAGACAGTTCCTGAAGAAGGCATGAGCGTACAACGGCCGAAACGTCGTGAAACATGACAATAAAGATGGGGACGACTGTCCGAATAATGTAAATAATGTGAATAATTACAAGACCTCAGCTCAGAAATATAGACTGATGTTGAAGAAGCGTACAACGGTCGAAACGTCGTAAATAATGAAATAAAGGTGAGGACAACAGTCCGAGCAATGTAAATAATGCAAATAATTATAATGCCTCATATCAGAAATTTAGACAGTTCCTGAAGAAGGCAGAGGCGTACAACGACCGAAACGTCGTAAATAATGAACCAAAGGTGAGGACAGCAGTCCGAGCAATGTAAATAATGCAAATAATTACAATGCCTCATATCAGAAATTTAGACAGTTCGTGAAGAAGGCAGGAGCGTAAAACGGCCGAAACGTCGTGAACATAACAATAAAGATGAGGAAATCAGTCCGGATGATGTAAATAATTACAATACCTCATCTATAGATAGATATATATAAATGCGCATTTACTGGTTCTACCCCGTTTTAAGAAGGCTAAATGAATAATACCACGACGGATCAACTATTCGCACACCATTACCTTACTTCCAGGGTGAATTAACATTGTCGAATTCTTGCCAATCCAATGCTTGCCTTTTGCGTTAAGTTAGTATGAGTTCAGGTGAATATGGCGTCTAAGGTAGAAAAGCCAATCGAATTCTAATTTTTTTCTTTGTTTTTCATTCCATATGCTGCCTTGCGTCGTCATAAAAGCGAACAATATCCCTTTTTCAATTGACGAACACACGGAGCATTGACACTAAACGCGGGGCTGCTACCCCGTGTGTATAAATGAATGTTTCATTGCATTTCCAGAACTGTAACTCTAAATAAATAAATGGCAAATTCTGTCTCTCTGTCCATGTGTGTCTTGCAACCCCACTGAGACGTACCGCACCTGCTCTACATAGACATATTACACCTTTTTGAAATCAGGATTATCCGGGGATTTAAAATATGCCCTTCATCTGGTGCTTGAGCATCCAGCATTGGGATTTGTGTCTGGATGAAAAGGGAACAGTTAACAATTCAAATTTTAAAATAACTGAAAAAAAATAAAAGAAAAATTTAGTGATTTTTAAAAGTTTTGAAAAGAGTTTAAAGCAACACGAAAACTTTGTGAATTTAAAACAAAATCTTTTAAATTCAGTTTAAAATACCTCCAAAAGTTTATATTGTTTATAATTTATATTTCTTCAAAATGCCAAGGAATCAGAATTAAATTTCGTGATGAGAGGTTCTGAAATGCTGCAGGGTTACTGATTTGAAGAATTCAACTCAATTGAAGTTCCACACAGTATGTGATTTGAAGAACTCAGTTTTCAGCCTGGATTGGAATTTCGACCCAAATCAGACTTTCGGCCTACATCGATTTTTTGGCCGGAATTGGTCTTTGTTGTTGTAGGATCCACCTAATTTGCATAGTGGAGTACCGACCATATAAATATAGTTGGTACCGGGAAGAAAGGAGGAAGGAATCAAAGAGATTCAGCAGAGACTCTGCCGACTGCGACTCAATCAACACATTCACCAGGAACGGTCTTACCAGGAATATACAAAAGACTATATGTAAATATTGTGTACACTTTCTTGTTTCAATACATTTTGTTCTAAGTACATTTTGTGTTGCATTATTATTCCATGCATTAGTCAAGTTTCAACAGTCTTATAGCCCGAGTTAAAGGTAGGTTTTGAAGTTCCATGGTGTGAATTGAGGAATTCAAAGTTATTTATATTATTTACATTATTCGTACTATTGTCCTCATCTTTGTCGCCATATTTATTACAACTTTTCGGCCGTTGTACGCTCCGGCCTTTTTCAGGTGGTTAGAATGTCGAACTGAACCCTTTATTTCGCTCACAGGGGTAGACTGTTCTAGTTCCACGTGTCATGTCTAATGAATGTCAGTTATCAGTTATCACCTGTTAATTCCCCTCTGAAAGTTCTCCACTGCCTTAACCGGGTATTGAACTCACACTCTTTAGGTTCTGTCACTGGATCTAACTAACGCTTTTGTCCACCGTGCCATGTGTTCGACATTCCAACCACCTGAAGAAGGCCGGATAGGAACAATTACGATGATAACTTTGTCATTACAATGAGAGTTTTTCTTTCATCTTAGCAACGCTTTGTAAATCATTTCCATTTCTAACCGATAAGGAAACTAATCGTTTTCAGTTTTCTCTCGTTTTGTCGAAATTTCTCTAGCTACCCTTCCAACACGTAACCCGAAGAAAAACTGTCTTCCGGGAAATTTTCTTACCTCCCCTGATCAATTTAAAAAAATTAACCCTTTTCTACTTTTTTTAATCAACTGATTTATTTTTTCCAAAAGAAAACCAGACTGAGAGAATAGAAACGAGAGTGATAAAGGATGAAAGGCATGTGAAGAGAAAGGAACATAGACGGGCAAGGATGAGATAGATAGATAGATAGATAGATAGATAGATAGATAGATAGATAGATAGTGTATTTGTGTGTGTGATATAGATAGATAGATAGATAGATAGATAGATAGATAGATAGATAGATAGATAGATAGTGTGTATTTGTGTGTGTGATAGAGAGAGAGATAGAGAGACTGGTGAGAGATAGATAGATAGATAGATAGATAGATGGATGGATGGATGGATGGATGGTGTGTGTTGTGTGTGTGATGGAGAGAGATGGGGAGACTGGTGATGGATGGATGGATGGATGGATGGATGGATGGATGGATGGATGGATGGATGGATGGATGGTGTGTGTTGTGTGTGTGATAGAGAGAGGGATGGATGGACTGGTGATGGATGGATGGATGGATGGATGGATGGATGGATGGATGGATGGATGGTGTGTTTTGTGTGTGATGGGGGGATGGGGGACTGGTGGGGATGGATGGATGGATGGATGGATGGATGGATGGATGGATGGATGGATGGATGGATGTGTGGTTTGTGTGTGATGGGGGAGATGGGGGACTGGTGGGGGATGGATGGATGGATGGATGGATGGATGGATGGATGGATGGATGGATGGATGGATGGATGGTTTGTTGTGTGATATATGGGATGGGGACTGGTGGGGGATGGCTGGATGGATGGATGGATGGATGGATGGATGGATGGATGGATGGATGGATGGTGTGTGTTTGTGTGTGATGAGAGAGAGGGAGATAGAGACTGGTGAGGATGGGGGATGGGATAGATGGATGGATGGATGGATAGATAGATAGATAGATAGATAGATAGATAGATAGATAGATAGATTATTTGCGGAAAGGAGAAGCAACGAGAGAGAAAAGAGTGAGATATAGAGTGATGGAGGAGGAAAGGTTGAGATAGGAAATGAGAAAAAGAGGGAGAGAGAGAAAGAAAAAGAGAGAGTCCAAAAGAAAATGAGATAGATAGATAGATAGATAGATAGATAGATAGATAGATAGATAGATAGATAGATAGATAGATAGTGTGTTTGTGCGTGTGATAGAGAGAGAGACAGACATAGAGACAGACATTTTTCGAGTGTTTTGTTCTTTCTAAGTCGTTCTTTTTCTCTTTCCGTTTCTTTTCCCTTTCCGTTCTTTCTCTTCTCTTCTTTTTTTTTTCCAT